ATAAATCACGCCCAAATTAAATATCAATTTGGTCAATTTTTGCAAGTGTTTGCACGCCACGGGTAACCCACGGGTTATGATTATGATCACCCGGGTAGACTTGGATACCCGACCCACCCGGGTATACCCGAGTTGAAACACTAATCACAAATCTCTAGTTTTGTCGATCCGGTCGCGTCTATACCCAGTTACATTTTTTTCTCTAGTTTTGTCGATCCGGTCGCGTCTATACCCAGTTACATTTTTTTTCCTTAAAATCGATCCGGTCGTGTTATTCTATATATACACACCTTTTTTCCTAAAATCTACCGCGTCATTATAGCATTTATTTTTTTCCCTAAAATATACAACGACATTTATTCTTTCTTAAATTTTCAGAAACTTATTTTAAACGAAACTTGAAATATTTTTTCCCTAAAATATACGACATTTATTCTTAAATTTATCTTAAACGAAACTTCATCTTAGTGAACGATGTCTGCACGAATTCGTAAAAGAGTTAAGGAGGTAAGCATATTTAGTAATAGACAAGCGAGCCCTTTTCCGTTAGGTTCCTTTGTGAGGTCACTCGAGTAATATTGTTTGTTGTGTGGAAAGGTACAACATATACAAAACAAGATTGCAAAGGTGATTCTCATTCGTTTATGTAGTCGATCGTGCCCGCAAAGAGAACCTTTGTGAGGTCACCTAAGGGTGACTCCCTTTCGTTCTGCATATTCGTTTGGCCACTAGGATATAGCCTAACGAAGTTACTTTAATAAGGGTATACCGATTCTGAAGAAGGAATCGGTCACTCCCCTTATTAAAAAAAACTTACGCTTGCTATACTGTTATAAAAATATTTTTACTTAATAAACCTTTTATTAATTTGATTTTTTTCTATTGTTCTTAGAATAAAGAAAATTGTGAAATTTTCGAACTTCTCCCGCAAACAAAAAAATCAAAGCAAGATTGTCGTCCGCGTGAAATTTCTGAACTTCTCCCGCAACTGAAAAGATCAAAGCAAGATTGTCCGATAAGGTATTATTTAATTTTGACCTTTGAATAGTCAAGTCACTTTTTGTCTTCGTAGTGATGTCGATATAGCCTTTACCAATGTTAATGATGGCAGCCTAAGCATACCTAATCATATAGATTTTTCGGATTTAAAGCTCGATCAAGACACTCTTAACCTAATAAAATGCAAAGTTCATGAATTAGTAAAGTGTATCGAAGAAAAACATTCCGAAAAGATTGAATTTATGGAAAAAATCATGAAGATCAACGAAACAAAAAATAATGAAAAGATTGAGCTTATGGAAAAACTCATGAGAATTGACGATCTGAAGGGAGTTGAAACCATTAAACGGATTGTTAAGAGAAATGAAATTGAAAAATCGCTCATCAAAGAGAAATCTGAATTTAATGTAAAGCTAAAGAACGTAATAGGAGTGAGAGGAGGATTGGAGTTTGTTCGATCCGAGGTAATTTTTAGTACTTAACGGGCAGTTCCTGATTTATCATTTGGCTTTCAATTTATTTATATTTTTTTATAATAGATTCGAAAAAAAAAGAGTAATAACAATATCCAAGTACCAAGTGATGTGGCCCTCCTAAGTTTATCAAAGGATGAAAATTTTATAAAATTTTTGACTGAGTCATGTAAAGAAAATCAGTTAAACTTCGATGATGTGAAAAAGTGCCTTGGGGGGGGGCTCTATCATTCCGCTTCTAAACATCTCCATGGCCACGAGGAAATAATTTTGGATAATACGTTCTGGTCTCCTAATGAAATCTTCGCGTTAGCGGTGCTTTCTGAATTCTTTAAAGTTTCGTGGTCCTACCCTGGAACCGAGTTTCCTTTTAAATTTACAAGGGACACATCTGATCCTGATCCCACGCAATAACGAAAAAAATCGGCTAAAGACACTTTTAATTTAGCTGAACGATATTTTTTTCTTCAAAAATCTGTATACCGACGGTTATATATAATTTTGATGTCAATAACAATTCATATTATTTGAACCATGCAGGTAATGAAAAAAAAACGACTAAAGCTGATTTTCAGTTTAGCCGTCGATTTTTTTTCAAATCGATAGATCTATTTCTTACAACAATAATTTTTAATAAACTGATATAACAAATCGTCGATGGCTTTAAAGAATTTTTTCTGATGTGATATTTATTATATATATAATAGATTGTGTTCTATATAGGATGTCTAAGTAGTAAATAAGATTCTCCACTAACAGCTAATATAATTGTTTTACACTTCGTGAAAGGTGTTGTATGTATGCTTCTGTTTAGAATGGGGCCTCCAATGTATGTAATGTAATACTGTAATATGTAACTAGATCTTGTGCATAAATTGAGATTATACATACTACGAATAAAAAAATAATTGTTACTTAAAATTTTTTTATATTTTGCAATTTTTTTATTAAATCAATAAAACTTATTTTTACGTACGTACGTTGTGAGGGTTGGAACTGCGGAAATATGGGCAATATGGTACAGGAGCGACCGTCGATGTTACACAATACGACAGTACATGTTATGATTATAATCCCACACCATTTTATTATTAAAAATGGTGTGGGATTATAATCATAACATGTACTGTCGGAATGATCTGGTATTGTAAAATAGTTTTTTTATATGTTGCACACCGGGTGAAAAGTCAGTCGTGTAACATCGACGGTCGCTCCTGTAGCCAGACACCCTATTGACGACACTCATATGTTTTTATTTCCACGTTTCTATATGATCACATGATGGGTTTTACGACTTCTACATAATTCACTACTTTAACATTTTTCCCAGGAAAATAAACGAACTTTATTTAGTAATTGCAATCATCCCTGGAAATGATCTACATCACGTGAAGATAATTATTTCTGCCACATAAAACGATTATCAGAGAAAAAAATTATTTACGATGTCTGTTTTTCAGTATGGTCGATTATTATATAATATTAGACGTTACCGAAGTACAATATCTTTAAAAATCGAAAGCAGTCACCCAAAGAGACTAGAACCTGTTTATACCTCAGACACTTTTGCGGTATTTTATATTAATGCATATTCATTTAATTGTTTTATCATTTTTTTTACGATTTATTTTGCGATATATAGGGTTTAGGAATTCGAGAGCCTATATGCAAAGCATTAAATAAAAATTTTAATATAATAATACCAACACAATGTCAAAAAGCATTAATCCCACCTATTCTGGAAGGAAAGGATGTTCTGGTTAGAGACATTACGGGGTCTGGAAAAACGTTTGGTATAGTTTTAGCCTTACTCAACAAATCAAGGAAACAAAAAGTAGTTGAAAGCCATTCCCCTATAAAAAAGTCATGCATAACTAGTATATTAGTTGTACCCAGTCGTGAATTAGGTTTTCAAATTGAAAATTGGGTACATATGCTATTAATTGATTCTGGTCTACCCTTAAAATCGATTATTCAAGTCGTTGCAAAAACCTCTCAGCAAGATGAGATTAGGCAGTTAGATGATTTGGAAAACGTACCTCCACATATATTAGTGGGTACCGCGACAAGACTCAGTGACCTTGTTGCAGAAGGTTTATTAACCTTTTCCAATTTGAAAACTCTCGCGTTGGATGAAGCTGATCATCTGTTAAGACTTCCCACTAAACATGCTCCATTAAAAAGGATTCGAAACAGACTAATTCATCCGAAACCAACAGAATTGTTAACTCAAAAAATTTTTGAACAAACTAGACCACAACTTGTGGTATCTTCAGCAACTTTAAATCGCGCACTACGGTTTTATTTTAAAGATAATGAGTATTCCGAAGATCCAATATTTGTTGATATGACACAAGGAACTTTATCACCACCAACAATAGAACATTATTGCCTCTTGGTTTCATCAAAAGAAATTAAGAATATAACCTCTGCTGATTTTTCTGATTGGCATAATAAATATAATGTTAAAAGTTTTGAAGAGCGAACACAGGATTTCGACGATAATGACGACCGGATGTTGGATAGTGTTGCTGGTGCAATTGAGCTCGAAAATGTGCAAAGTGGTTTGATCTTTGTTAATAATAAAATCAATGTGCCAGAGGCGATTGAACGTCTTAAACAGTTCGGTGTAACTGCGAAGGAATTAGTAACTTCGTTTATAAACAAAGAAATCAAGACAGAATCAACGTCAAGCACAATATTTGTCGCTCCCGAGTATACTGCCCGGGGAATTGATATTTCTTCTGTATCGCATGTATTTATTTTGGGAATGCCATCTTCATCGACTGAATATTTGCATATGTCCGGACGCACTGGAAGGATGGGTCGTAGTGGAAAAGTTATTACCATTATAAGAGAAGGACAAAAAAGATTAGCAAGATCAATGTTTTCTTTGTTAAATGTAAATCCGATTCCTTATCCACATGTGCAATAGTAATAGTATATATATGCGATATATGCGTTCTGAATTATTAAAAAATATAATGTATTATATATATATATATATATATAGTACTCGTCTTTTCTAGCATAATACTTAATTGTATTAAACTTTATTTTTTTTTTGACAAAAATCAATAAAGTCTTTAGAAAATCAATAATTATTCATATTGAAATATATATATATATATATATATTTTCTTTGATTTAAAACAATTTTTTGTTCACAATTGAACTTGAAGTGGGCACGTGATGACTTCATTCATAAATCAGTAAATTCGAGGGGCAAATTATGCAAGTGATGAACATGGCATTCAATGTTATCCCTATTATCAATATTACAAACAAGCTCATATATCTAATATGACGTAAAACAACAAGTCAGTAAGGGATTATTCCTGTTCCTTTCAAACATGGCGATATCCTACAGGTTTCCATAATAGTACACAAGTTTAGAGTTTTATGATTTGTTACACTGTATATAAATAAGTTAGTTATTAACAATATTAAATAACAATCCTTCCCTAGATCCCGACCGAGTGGAGATTTAAAAAAATACTTGCTTCATAACACTTGTGTGTTGGACGAATACAAACCACATCGTTAAATATTTCGTTATACAATGTCTAAATTACCAAAATTCCCGTCAGGGAGTAGTGTACCAGTTTCAGCACTTCCTTCCCCAGCTGGCCGAAGACGCTCATCTACTGGTACCGCACAAAAGTCAACAACTGGTTTAAAAGGGCTCACTCCAGAACAAGAGGCTTTATTACATGAGGCTATGGAAAAGTACAAGCCAGTAGACGCTAACAAAGCAAATGAATTTAATTTTAGTTCTATTTCAACCCTTAACAGTCAAAGTGACTTGTCATTCCCTTCTACCACTACACCTAATTCAAACAACCAGTCAAATATCTCATTAAGGAAGCCCGGCGCCAGAAGACCAAGTATATCTAAGGTGACCCGGCAGCCTTTGTTACCACCGTTAAGTGAGATACCTACTGGTGTTTCAACAGAATTACCAACTTCTACGACTCAACCACAAGCTTTGCCCTCAAAATATTCTTTAAATAATTCAGGGCATCAATCATCCCCCCAACGGTCATTTTTAACACAAAACCAGTATTCAACTACTGGATCACCATCCACAAATATATTACCTGTTCACCCACGTTTACAATCTGTCGCTACTTCACCACGTCCTGCATCACCTTCACTTTCGCAATTCTCAATAGGAGATCGAGTCGTTGCTGAATCAATGAACATTGTTGGCACATTAAAATTTTTAGGTCCAATAGATATCAAAGCTGGTACCTGGGCTGGAGTAGAAGTTGATATTCCTGGAACAGGTAAAAATGACGGAAGTGTCAATGGGTAAGTTTTAAAACTTTTTTTTTTTGATAAAGTTATTTAATAAAATATAGTTTAACAAATTAACATAATATTATTATTTATATTTAGTAAATCATATTTTACTTGTCCACCAAAATCCGGCATTTTTATTCTTCCTTCAAAGCTTTCCAAAGTTGATAAAGAGCCAGCTAGCTTACCACAAGCATCTACCTCAATTAAACCTAACCCTTCTGCTCATAAATTACCACGTCCTTCATCCACTTCCACAAATTCTAGTGACAAAGAATATTCAGGGATTCCTTCGGCGGATCCTAATATTTCAAAAAATGCACAGAATGCTGCATTAGCCGCTTCCCGTATAACTGCTGGATCACGTGCCTCAAAATATATTGGCGTCACGGCTTCTCAACTTAAACAAAGGACTAAACCTACAAATATTATCACTACACCTATTGCTGAGCCGCCAGCTTCTCGTGATCAGTATCAGACACCTAAAAAAACTTCAGGTTTGGCTCGTCCAACTTCAAATAATAATTTAAAATCACTATCTTTATCTCAACCTTCTGTAAGGAGCCGTACGAGGAGTAATTCCTCCTCTTCTAACGGATCTGCTATATCAAGTACATCTCAATCAGCTTCACATCCAAGATCCCGTTATCAAAATCAACCAAGTGATACATTATCCCCTTCTGATAGTGATATGACCGTCATTGCTCCTATAAATGAAGAAATGAGTAATAAGTCTCTTCAAGAACAAGTAAAAAAATTGTTAAATGATTCGGGAAATTCTGAAAATATTCCTTTAAGCTTGTTTGACCAACAAGCTCTTCGAATTCAACAATTACAAATGAAAATTGAGGTACTGGAAGGAGAAAATGCGCGTTTGAAGCTTGATGACAAGAAACTTCAAACCCAATCTGATACAGGAAAATTAAATTTTCTTAGTCGTCCTGTAGAGCCAGATACCAAAGAAAGCTGGGAAATTGAGAAAATTTCTCTTTTAGAAGAAAAAGAGTCTATGGAAAAGGAATTAAATGAAAAGATAGAGGAATTGGCCAAGAAGCTTCAAGAAGCTTCAAAAGGACAAAATTTCAGACCAAGCACTTCTCTTTCACAGATTGCAGATGACGATCTTATGAATGATAATATTTTGCAGCTTACCGAGCTGATTGAACAAAAAGATGAACAGATTAAATCCCTTGAGGAGTCATTTAACAAGTTGACTAAACAATCAAATGAATATCAAACAAAGATCGCAGAGTTAGAAAAAATTAACTCTGAACGTGCTGACAAGATAGAACAGCTTGCAACCCTCGGATATCAAAATTCACAAACAGAAGCTTCTGATAGAGTTGCCCAGTTGGAAAAGGTCATTCAAGAAAAATCCACTGAAATTGTTCAATTAACGGGGAATGTTGAAAGTATTCGGATTGAATCTGATGGCAAAATGCGTACTCTTCAAGAGACCATCGACGAGCTAAAATCTGCAGGTCAAGAGACAATCAATATCTATGAATTAAAAGTTTCATCACTCGAGCAACAAGTTGAAGATTTAAAAAAAGCTGGTGTGGAAACAATATCATTATATGAGGAGGCAACAAACAAAGTTACAGAACGTGATACTAAAATTAGTTTATTGGAAAAAGAGGCTGAAGAATTGCGATCTGCTGGTGTGGAGGCTATCGATGTATACGAGAAGACAATTGAGGGAGCTAAAAGAGAGATGGAAAATACAAAAAACCAATTGGCCAGAAAAGAGGAGTCACTTAGCGCAGCTAACAAAGAAATAGAGAGACTTAGATTGTTGCAAAAAGAATTGACTGAAACAAAGACCAAGAGGGAAGAAGGTCTTCGAAATGAATTGGCTGATTTACAAACTGGTTTGGAACATATGATGCGTGCAGACGCCAAATCTCGTGAACGTATTTATCAATTAGAAGATGAAGTTCGAGACTCACAAGCTCTTGTTAGCAGGCAACAAGAGGAAATTTCTGCTCTTAAAAATAATATGCAAAATCTTATGGCTGCTAACAATGACGAAGAAATTGAGAAAGTTAAAGAAGTCTTTGAAAGTGACATTAAGAGACTTCAATATGAATTGGGTGAAGCGAGAAAATTATTATCTGATACGCAATCTGAAAAGCGTGCACTTGTTGGAGAATTGGATGTTATTAAAGATGAAAAGAAATTGATAGAAAAAAAATTGCAGGATAACGAAAAAGAGAGACAAGATATTATCACTGAAATGGATGTGTTAAAAGGTAACATGCTACAGAATGAAAATGAACGTACACAGTTGATTACGGACATAGAAGAGTATAAAGTAAACATCGCTAAAATTGAGGAGCACAAGACAAATATCATTAAGGACGCCGAGGCTGAAAAATCAACATTAATGGAATCACATGAAGACTTGAGAAAAGAATTAATTGAAGCACGTGAAAGTGCCCAAAAAGACCTTGAAGAGTTACAGCAACAACTAAAAAATAAAGATAGTTATGCAGATCAACTAAAATCTGAACTTGACACCAAGATAGCTGAGATAAAGCAATTAAATGTGGAATTTGACTCATTTAAAAAAGATGTCGAAAATTCAAAAACTGCTGAAGATTCAACTATGTCATCTCAAGATTCTATAAAACTTAAAACAGAAAACGAACAATTGAAGAAAAAAATTAAAGATTTAGCTATATCTACAAAAACAACGGAAGAGACGACACAAAAAATTAAAGAATATGAAGAAAAAGTTTCAGCGTATGAAGAACAAATTTCTGGACTCAAACATATTGTACAAGAGTTGACTCGTGAAAATGTTTCTATTGCCAGTGATAATAAAAAAATTTTAGCCGAACAAGAAAAATTAATGGAAGCTCATCGACAAGTGGAAAATGAATGTTTGAAATTGATGGACGAGTTGGAGAGACTACATAGTGAATCACTTGGTGGTCAGGGCATCTTATCATTGTCTCCACCTGTTGAAGATTCGTATGAGGCTGATGGAACTAGTTCTGTAGACCAAGAAATTTCTGAAGAAGGGGAAACGTCACATGTAGGAACTGACGCGTCGCGTCTTCAATCACTTTTAGTAGAAAAACAATCACAATTAGATAGATTGTCGTCTAAACATAACGCAGAAACTCGAGATTTGCGTCAGAAAATTCAGGAATTGGAAAGGTCAAAACAACGAGAAATAACTGCATTAAACAAAGATGTTGCAGAATTGGAATCCTTAATTGAAAGTAAGATTTTCCGTGAAGCAGATTTGGAAGAAGAAGTACAACGGGAACGACGAAATGTTAAAAAGTGGAAAGATGATTTTGAAGAATTGAAAGAGCAATTAAATAAAATGAGTAATAGCGATGAAACAAACCTACTAGAAACTTCAATTCTTGGTAATGGTTTAATTGATGGAGGTTCTTCATCTCGAACAAATAAAACAGAAACTTCAAACTTATATTGCGAGATTTGTGAAGAATCAGGGCATGATATTATCAGTTGCAAAGTAGTATTTGGTTCACATTCAAGCGCTAGTAATGCTTCATCTGATACCGCAGTTGATGGATTCACTGGAAATCATAAAGATGAAAGGCCGGTTAGTAATTTCAAACATGTTTAAGAAATACAGTTATGAAATAATAATTTCTTATGATTTTTGTTTTATTTAGTATTGTGATAATTGCGAGGAGCATGGATTACATTGGACGGAAGATTGTCCTAACCAAGATGAAACATTTTAATAATCAAGAATGCTAACAAATAGGCGTCAAGGATGCGATTGATTTTATTTACTTGTAATTTATTAGTCAATTTTAGTTCACGTTTTTGGTCTTAATGAACGTGTGAATGTGCACGTATAACCTATAATTTATAAGAAAGAGCATTACAATTATATTTGGTAACTAATAACATTCTATTTTGGAATTCTTAATTGACATTTGTATAATAATACTTTCCATTTATTTACCATATAGATTTTTTTTTTTATACACGTTTCCTTTTTGTTAAAATTAAAAGCATTCTCATGTTAAAAGTTTTACTTTTGTAATATTTTCCTATTTTAGGTAACCAAAAGCAATTGGCACTGGCTTATTATTTGTAAGCTACAAAATTTTAACTATATATTATATATTTTACTCTAATTGTGCCAAACAAAAAAAAACAAAAAAAAAAAAATTATTGATAAATATTAGATTAAAAATTCAATGATTTAAAATGAGGGAAATATCCATTAAAAATGTTTAATTGGAGCTGAACATTGCATTCAATGATTTAAATTCAATTAATTACGGTTTGATTGACCAAATAGATTATATATATTTGCTTTTTTTTCAAATAAAATGTATAATTACTTAATCTTTTTTCTATTTACCTTAACATTCTTTTCTAAGCTACGAGCTACATAAGGAATAAAACCTATTGTCCACTTTATATTCCATTTACTGGTCTCACCCAACATAATTAATCTAATATATTGACTAAAAACAATCCAATAATGAGTACCAATGGCAGTAAAAATATGCCACCACCCATGAAACTCCAATAGATAGCTAGCTGGTCTACCAACTTTTTGCCTTGCCGATCGTAAATAATCACAAGCAATGTTATCAATGTTCCAAGCTAGAAACCCAAGACCGAATATTGTCCAAGCCTTAAACAATAATCTTTGCATGCTAGTTCGAAGGTGACTGTCTTTAGGTAACTTATCAACCATGTAGTATGAACGAAAGTTTAATACTGTCACTAGCATTGCATAAGTGATTTGATGAAAAATTGGGATTACGACATATAAATACATTATAGTTATGCTAATGGCGTATGTGAATAATGCGAGGGGTAAATAAAGCCCGTATTTCCTTTTATGACCTGTTTCAAAGCTTTAAAGAGAGATGAATTAATAGTCTAAATAAAATAATTTTGATTAATATTAATGATAATTACATATTGTGCATCAGGATGCATGTTCCGTATATCACTATTTCGCGAAAAAAAAGGTTAAATATGTATAGCACATCAATAGAGTCCATTTGTAACACGCAACTCACTTGGAAGTTCATCTAATAATTGATATTCATATAACAAAGTCATATGAAAGCACCAAGAACCTATACCAACTAGCAAGATGCCTGCGTAAGCCAGGATAAACCGTTTTTCTAATCCATATTTTACCGTTGTATAAATCCCGAAAAAGCATAAGCAAACTAAGGAACAATTAGATATTAGAAATTTATCGTTTTTATTTATTTATTTATTTATTTATATCAACAAATGTTTTAGATCAATGCGCGTACTTACTAAAAGTGAGATTTGTTGTAGTATTTACAAATTCAGCGATATATTTATTATCTAAATAGTTTTCCTTATGAAAAATAGGATTTCATTGAAAGAATGAGCTGTATCGATAACATATCTACCTAACAAATAAAGGATTTCTTTTTGATCAACTTACTTCGCACCAGTCTAAAGTCGCAGTTCTAAATTAAAAAGAATAATTGAGTTTTTCATCGATTGAAAAGTATATAAAATACTTTACCTTTGACCCCAGAATGGATGTTCGCTTTCAACCTTTATTGTTTTTACCATCGTTTTTTTTCTTTTTTTTTTTTTTTTTTGATTCGTTGTGTAAGAGATGTAAGAGATACGGATAAAGGAGAATGAGGCAGCCCTGTTATAAACAAGAAATGCTCACCTATTTATATGTGTCGATATATACTGTTTCTTGATAAATTCAAGATCATCAAATTCATCGATCTTTTTTTGTTGGTTGATCTTGTTAAATACTTAGAATTGACACATGAAAAACAAGTTCAGGAAGCCTTAATGATTTTCCCTATTTGAAATTAATCACGTAACCTAGAAATAGAAAATTCTCATTTATACGTATATATAGTTATTTTTATATATATATATTATATGTGTATACGTATATATATATATATATACCGTATAGTTCCGAAATTAAGCACCTCTTTTTTGTTATAGGGGGTGCTTAATTTCGGATGATTTTTTTTTATCGTGATAAACTTTATAATATGATGTAATTAATACGTATAAACAGATAAAAACAAAATAAGAAATAAAATTCTTAATAT